CAAATGGCACTATTTCATCTTTTTTATGGCAGAATAGTATTCCATTGTGTATATATACCACAACTTCTTTATCCAATCATCAATTGTCACCCTAATACACTTTAATTAAAAAGAAAGATTGTAATAAAAAAAATTATTTAAAGTATTTCACAATTTTAGGATCATTCAGGATATCTATTCCTGATGATTCTCCATAAAAATACAGTATGCCAATTTCATTGAGTTATTCATTAAATCATTTCCAAACTGCAGGTAGTATCTGACATATTATTAAAGATCAGCTTTATCAATAAGGTATCTTAATATACACAAGAATATTAACAGGTTAGGAAGTATAATTAGTAGTGCCAAATAAAAATAAATAACTTTTCTGCTTAGTGATTAAATTTTACATAAATGTATATATATTCACATTTCATATTTAAAATATTTCTTATTTTAATGTCTCCAAATAAATGAACCTAAATGGAAGTAGGGCTGGAAAAGCAAATAAGTCATGACAAAGAAAAAGCCTTCAAGTTGTAAAAATTTCTCTAGAAAAATAAGTCTTAAGTAAATCTTTGCTTTTGAATTTACATGTGTTTTTCCCAAATAAAAACTCTATCATAAAGAAACTTCTAACATCGGTAACCACAGTTCACGGCTATGATTTTTCTTCTTCATTTTTTTTCTTCTTCATCTTTCTCACACATTTTGAGTATCCTAAGCTTTATACCTACCTGTATTAAATTTAATTTTCCTTATCTGTACCATCAAGTCAGTATTACTTATTGTCACACAAACACAAAGTTTACAAAGACTCACATTCTGCTAGGAGATAAATGATTCCCAACTTATGTCCTTTCTTTCAGCCAGCACCTCAGCTGCCACAGAAATGACACAAAAGCCTGTCTTAGCTTCTTATTTCCCCAAATCAAGATAAATGAGTGGCCTGCAGGATACAGGATTCCAAGAACCTGGCAAAGTATGACAAATAGTTTGTTCTGCGTAGTATTATAACTCCAAACTGAGGTGATTAGAGTCACAAAGTAAATAGCAAAAAGCAAGAGAAAGGAGATCACAGTTTGCATGGCTCTTATGTGGACCTTGGTGCTGGGATCTTGGGCTCCTTTGCCACTGAGCTGCATCGTCTTGAGATGTTTCCACAGCGAAAAGATTAACAGCGTAAAACATGTCAGGGACATAGTGAAGGGTATGAAGTTTGCTAGCGTGATTACAGCCATATCTGAAAGGTGCACGATGGCCCTCAATTTGGTCTTCCAAGTGATGTTTCCTTCATATTTCTTCATCTGCATACTTTTACTTACACTTGCCACTGCAAGATGAAAAACCAAGAAGACCAATGTTCCCAGCAGCATCATGAGGACTACTCTTTTAACCTTCCACTTTAGGTGAAGAAAAAGAAGGCTAGAGAAATTGGCTATCTTGAGCAAATAAAATATGCTAAGGCTAGTAGTAAGCCAGAGGCTAAAATGATTGTTCATTACCCAGATCACATAAACAATAATTCTTACTTCTGAACTAGATAAAGCTGAATGAAACACAGTTGCATACCAATTTATTACTATTACCCAGAGCAAACCAATTCTGGAGATTGCCAGAGCAGTGAGAATTCCATCAACTGAGGAGATTTTTTGCCTCTTGACCCAGTCAATGCAGCTCACCAGTGCTATGAAGATATTGGCAAAATTTCCTAGAACAAATGCTGTCATTATTAGGATGGAAAAAATGCGCAGTACTAGACTTATCATGTCTGGGAGGAAAAAAAGTCAAGCCTAGGGAAAAATGCCAAGTTCAGGGAGGAAAAAAAAGCCAAACCTAATATCACTGTGCGTGATTTCTTAATATCCTAAAGTTCCACCTGCACCTGGTTTCTAAATGTGCAGTAAAGTTCTTGTTTTCTTTTCAATTCTGAGATTAACGTCAAGCAGGAAAACACCAAGGTCTGCTAATGGTTGAGTTCGAAGCTGTCCTTATGAAAAAATTTCTCAAATAATTTAAATGAATTCTTGTGTTCTTGCCATAGGCTGGAATATTTCATAGCTGATGTTGAAATGAGAGCTGAATTCTCATTTGCTAACATGCAAATAAAGACAAATTCTCTTTCATTGTTTTGCAATTTTTTTGCCTTGCCTCACCTTGCATAATTTGAATTTATTGAGTTGAGATGTTAGCTAGTAAAAATTTTAAATCTAATGCATAAAACACACAGCAATTGTCCAAATTGGTAGACTGGTCTTATTTTAGCAAAAACATTAGATCCACTCAGAAAGACTTAAAGGAATATATCTATAGGTTTTCCAAGTTTTTCTTTTTAAAAACTTTCCAGTTTCCCTAGGACCCCTAGGAAGGCTAATACTCTCTAAAAATTGGGTGTTGATAAGTAATATTTATAAATATATATTGTTTATAAGCTTGTAAACATACACACACATGTGTGCACACCTATACATTTCATTTGATCGCCTGAAAAAATGATTTTTGTAATTGCATTGCACATAAATCCAAGGATTTGGATATAATTGCTCTCCTAGAAAGTTGATTCTATCTACTATCTACTCAAGAACATGGCATAATCTACATTTGTTCAGATATTTTATGTTCATCAATACAATTTAATAAACTTGAATAAAATATATTACTTCTGAGACTTATTTCCAGGCACCTTATAGTTTTTATTGTTATTGTGAAAAAGTTCAGTTTAGAATGTCATATTCTAATTACTGGTGAATACATATACATGAGTGTCTCATTTGGCAATTGTGCTAAATTTACTTATTAAATAAATTTATTACTTATTTCTTTGTGGATTACTTTGGATTATCCATAGGTAAACCTGTTGTCTGCAAGAAAAAAATCTGTTTTGTCATTTTCATTCAAATTCTCATAAGAGTTATTTTGTCTTTTCTCATTGTATTTCCTAATACTTCTAACACAAAACTTTTCTTAATCCTGTCATCAGTGTAAAAGATTCTACATTTTGCCATTAAGCATAATGTTCTTACATTTTTTTAGTATACACCTTTTATCAGGTTATTGTCATTTCCTTCTACATATACTGGTTCAGTAAACAATCTGGTCAAAACGTACTCCAATATCTGTTAATAGTCAGAGTTCAATCAGCAGACAGACCACACAGAAATCTGATGATAAAAAGTTTAACATAAAGAATTATTAACTATAATGGGATTGGAGTAATGAGGGATTGACTAGAAAGAAGTAAAGAGGACTGTACAGAATATAGAAATAGCAGATATAAGGAATAGTCATTTTTCCCTAGGGGTTAAGATATGACACCCAAAGAAAAGCCTCCACACAAATTTACCCAGTCATCCAGGCTAAGAACCACACCTTGTTAAAGGTGGTACAGCTATGGCTCACTCCAGCAACTTCTGGAAATCCATTGTCTAGACCTTCCCAGGAATCTACCTCCTGGGTGTTGGGGGAGCTGTTCATAGAGACATGTGTTTCCAGGGGTGCTTTGCTGTAACACTGCTCTAGGGACATGCTGGGAAAAGGTGTTGACTGCTGGATGCTGCGGACCAGAATGCACCACAGAGAAGCTGCTGCCTTATGAGCCAAGCACTAAAAAATTGTCCAATTTATCTGAATTTTTAACGTTTGGGTGAAAAGAGCAGTAACATGCATTTAGTTTTTGTTTTACTGTGTACAGTTATTATAATATGTTTCTAATATTATGTATATTTGATTTTTGTCTGTTTATTGATTTTCATAAAGAATCTTTGGTTTTACTCTCATCTATATTTTATTTTAGTTTTCTGAGTCTTTAGTTTCTTCTTTCATTATTATATGCAGATTACAAAGGAGTTAAGAAATGCAAGCTTGGGAACTAGGTTGCTTATGCTAACATTTCGATTTTTTTCCATTTTCTATTGTGTCACCTTAGACAAGGTACTTTTAACCTTTCTTTATTCCTCAGTTTCCTTATGTACCAAATGTAGTATAATTGTTTTCAGGATTAAATGTGATAATGTATGTAGAGCACTGAGTATAGTTTTCTGTATACAAGAAAACTAAGTAAATATTATTCTACTCCTAACATTTTATATTTTTAAATATTTTGTCATTCATTTCTATTTTTACTTTTTCATTGCTTATTTCCATTTAATGCAAATTCAGTGAGCATAGGGAATAAAAGATCATCTTACATGCCACCAATATTTTGCTTAGTATTTCAAATATTGCATATTGACAAAGGCTTGAAATGTGGCACCAGATTTACATATTTTCTCCTGTATCATCAATGTGCTTCAGGCCAACATGCATTCAGAGGAGACTTCAGGGCTGGTATTGTGTATATAGCCCAGTGTTTGAGAATTAGTAACAGTGTACTCGTATTAGA